TTCTCTTAAATGTGTCCTTAGCTTTACCTTGGTTGCTATGTCTTTACCATAGAAGACATACATAAAATTTATTATGGGAGTTAGATCGAAGAAATCGGTCATTGTCTAAGTTTTACAACGAGTAACAGCTTGGCTTAGCAAATAGATCAAGAAACCTAATCCTGAATAACTTGATACCAGCACAAATTGACGGAGTTTCGTTTTTTCTATTGCCTAAACTTAGCACACAAAGTCTATTTGTTAACGGAAACTTTCTCAGAAACATTACAAAAAGAAAGAAATCAGCTGTTGAAGGAAAAGAAACTGCCGGAAAAAACCTATTTGAGGATATGAGAAATAAATTATGGGCAGATTTGTTCTTAAAAAATATCATGAAGAAAACTTCAGATTTTGATCGTTTGGATAATCCGTTTCTACTAAGAAAGTGAAAATATCGACGCAATTATAAATTCTATTTAAACTCATTATGACAAGCCCAGTTTGAAGGTTTTTCAAATTTTTGTTAAAGCATTTAATTTCCGGAAAAATTAAGATCAGATGTTACAAAGTTATATCCTAACTATACTAAATTGCTTAACTTTTTACTTTTGGTTGATAGTTCTTCTGTTGATATTTCAACGTTAATGTTTTTTGTTAATCCATGTTTCATTTATTTTTCTCCCCCATTTTATTTCGGGTACTTTTAAATTCTAAAAAAACGGTTTCATTACGAGTTATATGATAGTGGTTATTCTAAAACTTTGCAAAACTTTTCTATTTCAAGTCAACATCACAATAGACGCGACTATGCGACACGTTCAGTCAAAATTCATTTTAGATACAGTTTCTGGCCATCCCTAAGACACCATAATTCTAAAATTTTTCTTGCCGCCAACCATGGTGGCGGCCTTTTGTACGCCCTTTCAAAACTTTGATATTTTGGCCCCCTAACTTTCAAACACGTTTCGCCCGCCCTGACACCAAAAGGACACATGATGTATACAGTTATCATTTTTCATCAATTATTCTTCTTTTTAACTGTTCAACTGGTACGAATCCTTTATCATCATCATCATCATCATCATCATCATCATCATCATCATCATCATCATCATCATCATCATCATCATCATCATCATCATCATCATCATCATCATCATCATCATCATCATCATCATCATCTTCAGATGATCTAGCGCATCAATTTCGCGTTTCCTCCCATTTTCTTATGACCAGTGATTCAATAACTAGGTCCAGTTCTCGCACATCATCACGGTAAACGTAGATCTGTACACTGCAGATTGGTACGTTACTTTTTATGAGATTCTTGTTTACCAAATCAAAGAGCATTTCAAAGAAATTTAACCAACCGCTCCAAAATTAAAGACTCGAAGGCCTTCATTGAAATATGTTGTCCCGCCCTTCAATAACAAAGCAACTTTCATTGGAGAAAATATCTTTTGCAGGTATATCAGCTGGTCAGCACTTTACACATACAGGAGGGATATCAAATACATTATGTCTGCACCCAAATCCAGAATACGCAAGTTACTCGGATTCTATAGATACCTCACAATGGATTTATAATATTGAATACAAGGTCAGTGCATTCAGTCCTTTTGAACAGCCATTACATCACCATGATGCTCCTTGCGCAGTTTGTCTCCTGGAGACTCGCGGTACCAAAGTAATGATACCCGGTCGAAACATTTGTCCATCCGGCTGGACAATGGAATATAAAGGATACCTGCTAAGTGAGTCTTACGCGAGCAAAGGCCGTACCGCTGCAGTTTGCGTCGACGAAAAAGCAGAACCATTGCCTGAAACCAGTGCTGACAATGGTGGCAGTTTGTGGTATTTGGTTCAGGGAACTAAGAACCCGTATATTAGCGGACAAGAACTTACTTGTGTTGTCTGCACACGATGAGCTTTGAAAATATTCCTGTTTATGTTAAAATAGCTGTAAATTTTATCATTGCATGGTCAGGGACGGATTCAAACCGCAGGGATTTGGAAGGGGGGGTGTTATATGATGATTGGATTTTGGTGCCACACCCTTCAGGTGACTGGAAAATGATGAAAACGCCCATTTTAAAATAATAAACTTTTAACTTCAATGCAGAAAAGATAAGAAGATACATAAAGAAAATTTCTGCATCATTTTGTTACTACTGACCACCAAAATAGCTTTACCAAATCAAAGCAAGTTTGCCAAAGCACAATCTTGAGGGGTTGTCGAACCCCTCGCATCCTCCTGTAAATTCGTCTCTGTTTATGGTGCTGTGAACCTTCTTTTAGGCATTAATAGGTACTGCAAGTTGATAAAAACACTTCTATAACCAAGGAGAAATTCAAGAACAGTAAGTTTTTTTACTTGCCTTTTTTTCTGGTGATGGGTTTATGAATGCAGACCGGTAACTCATTGATAATGATTCTTTTCCAGACAGAAAAGCTAGTTGCACTTTGGTTGAGGCAGATTAAGATTAGGTCCAAGAATGAAATGGAACAGAACTGAATAGAGTAAAACCCGCGTAAAAGAACCTGTTTACACGAGTCTCGAGGTTGAGCCAGATCTATATGTTTCAACGATTTGTCATATTGTAGTGGTCTGAAATAATAATGAAAACATCTTTTATTTTATATTCTTCTACTTACAACAGTAACCTCACTTTACAGGCAGTTACTATCGGCTAGCCTGGTGACAAGTTTACTAATTTTACAAAAGTTATAACATTTAAATAAAATCATATGAGTGCAAAGAATCTTTAGAAGGAGAGCAGTTCAGGGTTTGTCCAAGTCTTATTGCGCATACAGAATATATAATAGGATGTGCGTATAATTATTGCTGACAGTTTTTTAATTATAAAATTACGGTGTTGGTAGTCAAGTTTTAGTTCATCACACATATCGATGAAAGAATCACAGGAGTTACCAAAGATACCGAGACAGCTGATAGATAGATTAACAAAGTTTACTTTTTTGAACTTAGGGCGTAGTTCCTTTAGAAGGGAACGGTACTTCTCAGCTTTACGCGAAGCGTTATTGTCCAGGTTAGTCTCGAACCCAACACTTAATTCGATGACATACAGACAGTTAGAAGCAGTTTTGATTAGCATGTCGGGACGGAACGAATCGCCAGTTATGATACATGGTGATAAATAAGCGGGAATGTCAGCATATATGAATACATCTCGGATACATTGTAATGATGATGCAATAATAATAATGGAAACTTTTCATTTTCAATTCAATTAAAACTACAATTACAAATTTCACTATTACAAAGGTAATTTGCAATTGGCTAGCCTGGGTTTACAAAGAAAAAGACTATTACAAGCACAAACAAAAGAAATTAACAAAAAAAAAGAAGAAAAAAGTGTGTTCGTCATTGTTTGTTTTAGAAGTCGTCAGTAGCAGAGATCGTTAGAATTGAAGAAGTTCAGGATTATTCCAAGATTTATTTCTGCGGCAGAAAATGTAATGGGTAGTACGGATAGTTAAGTTGGATAGTTTGGAGATCATGAAGCGGAGATGATTCTCGCTGATATCTAGAGCGTTGCACATGTCAATGAAAGAGGAGCAAGAGAGACCAAAGATACCTAGGGAACTGATAGAAAGATTAACAAACATGATAGAAGAATAGGCTGAGCTTAGGCTGTGAATGAGATTCGAGTATTTCTCTTTTTTGCGGTTAGCATTAACATCCAAGTTAGTTTCGTATCCTACTGTAAGCTCGAGTATGAATAGTCGATGGTCAGAAGTGACTAGAAGTAGATCAGGATGGAAAGAGTCTCCTGTTATGATAGAGGGTGAGAGATAACCTGAAAGGTCTGCGTAAAGAGAGCAATTAGGTATAGCTTTTAAAGATTGTGCTAGGAAGTTCAATGCAGAGTTATGGCGCCATGTGTAACGGCCTTCTTCGAGGTATGTTTTGCAGCCTGCAACAATGTGAAGTAACGTTTCTGGCATATGGCAAAAAGAGCAATCGGACGACTGAGTAATGTTCCATTTAGATAGGTTTTTTCGCGTGGCAAGGGAGTTGCTAAGATATTTGATAGTAAAACTGTAAATGTTCTTGGGCATGTTGCTTTGAACCGTGGTCCATATTTTAGAGGCTATAGGAAGAGAGTGGTCAAAGATGAAGGAAAGAACGGTACCTTGAGATACAAGATTGTTTTGAAGGCGCTCTTTATGTTCTGATCTAACAGCCTTCAATACTTCTCTAGTATTCCTGTAAACATCATATTGGATGTTCATGCTCTGGCTGGTATTTTTCCACAAAGATTGGATGTTTTTGTTGGGAGAGGATTTCAGTGCATTACGACAAACAGTTTGACACTGCATGAATTTAACAGAAGGAAGAATCAAGTTAAGACCGAACTGGTTTTTTGACAGAATAATGCCACTTAAAGTAGCACTTATGGGTAGATCGAGCCAACGGCGGATAAATGCAGAAACTTGATTATCAAGGTTTTCGACGATCCAGGTTTTTGATAGATTGGCTACTGTGAGGTACCACGAAACTTGTGAGAGAAGATAGCTGTTATAAAGAAGCAGCTTATTCTTTGGATGGAGAGGTAAAGAATCAATTTGCGTTAGGAGTTCTGTGAAGATGGAGCTGAGCTTAGACATATGTTCTTGGTTGCTCATATTAAAGTCGAAGTGACGCCCAAGATACTTAAAAGACTCTCCAGTTATGACAGGAGGGACCATTTCATTATTGATGAAGAGCTTTGGCTGATATTGTAGGGAGCGTGTTGAGAATTTTTTAATACCAAAGGTTGTGCATTTGTCTACTCTTATAATCATGTTAGACCATTGACACCATCTTGCAAAGCAGTTTAAGAGTAGCTGGTTTTCTTTCTCCCCATTTGTAATGACTGCAGCATCGTCTGCAAACTGAAACCAGTGCTCTGGGGTAAACATACAGTCTGGTTGGCTATGGGGAGAGAAACCAAGTTGTTTGAATTTTTCTGCCTTTATGTATTGAATGAAAGTGTTAAAGCACATGTTAAATAGAAGGGGACTTAGGCAATCACCTTGAAGAACTCCACGTTTAACTGGAATAGCAGGGGTAACAAATTTATCTGTGATAATAGAGGTTTTAAAATTTATGAAGAGACTAGAAATCAGGGACTGGATGTTTTCTGGTACGTGGTGATAAGACAGGACAGATTTGATTAGATTGTGATGAACCTCTCCGAAGGCATTTTTTAGATCCAATAATGTTATGACTAGAGACCTATAGGTACGCTGATTGATGAAGTTCCTATATTTAATTTTGGTTTTGTTGTTGCGAATGCTGTCGTTTTGATGTCTGATTTAACGTGCAGAAAACACGGAGCCAGCAAGAGACGATATTGTGTGACCGTTGCGTCTTGATGAATTTACTGACTAATTACAATTTAGGGCGTATACAAATATAATGAGAGACGATACAAATGTGTTGTTTATTACGTTACGTGGATACGAAGACAACGGAAAGTGTTAATGACAGAAACACAATGGAGGACATGATTACGTTTAGACAATGGTCACTACAGAGCTCCCCCCCTAGAGAGCGAGTGGGTTGAAGCGAACGATGAAATGTTATCGAAAATGTTTGAAAAAATTTTAATAAAATGTCCGGAAGAAAAGTTGTGTTAAATGTTCAAATCACTGTAGATGTTCGTGAAGCTTCGTGTGTCTTTATGTTGTAGAATCGTGCCTTTGTGTCTGCGAGGTTTTAGAAGGATGACCAGGAACCATGATGTTTGCGATGTGGTGCTTGCGATGCGATGCGAGGTTTTGTGAGTAGGGTGACCAGGAACCTTTGGATGCTTGCAAGGCGGGTGATTGGCACTGTGGGTGATGAGTGCTGCGGTGCTGCCTTGTGTGTGCTGCAACATTTTCTGGGCGCGGAATGTTGTCGACCTAGCGTGATAAACACCAGCTTTTTGTAGGGTGTGCTGCCGAACCTGTTTGATGTTGTGTTTAACGAAGGCATTTGCGTGATTCTGTGTGTACTTCAGCGAAGCGATGGACGGTGTAGTGCTGTTGGACAGTTTTCTGTGCTGTAGGATGGTGTCGGTCGAGTGTACTGGCGGAGCGGGGTTAGTTGATGAGGTGAATTAAAACATTGTACGCAAAACGGGTTGAAACAAGTAGACAGACATCACAAATCCAGGGTGCATCGAAACAGCCAACAGGACGTTGTTTGTGAGCCAGCGTAGGCGTTGAACGTATGCGTGATGGCAGTTGTAACGTGATGAATCCAGGAATTTGCGAGTGGTTGACGTTGAGACGGCTGACATAAAACGAATAAAAAACGACAGTGCAGAACTTACCAGTCGGTCACGTCGTGGTCACCATTTATAGGTACGCTGATTGATGAAGTTCCTATATTTAATTTTGGTTTTGTTGTTGCGAATGCTGTCGTTTTGATGTCTGATTTAACGTGCAGAAAACACGGAGCCAGCAAGAGACGATATTGTGTGACCGTTGCGTCTTGATGAATTTACTGACTAATTACAATTTAGGGCGTATACAAATATAATGAGAGACGATACAAATGTGTTGTTTATTACGTTACGTGGATACGAAGACAACGGAAAGTGTTAATGACAGAAACACAATGGAGGACATGATTACGTTTAGACAATGGTCACTACAGACCGTTGTTTTATTCGAGCTTTGTCTATTATATGGCTCATCATCGCAGTATGTTCTAGTGTACCCGATATCTGATGGGTAAAACCTTTTTGAATCTGATGTTCTATGAAACTATTTTGTTTGAGAAAATCAAATACAGAATCTCGGAGGCAAGATGTGAAGATTTTTAGTGGGACCGATTGGAGAGTGATAGGTCTGAAGTTTGAGGGATCCTCTGTATCTCCTTTTTTGTGTATTAATATAGTGCAAGCTTTTTTCCATTCCGATGGGACATGTCCAGATAACCAGATTAAGCGAATCAAATCAGTTAAGAAAGAGCGAAGATAAGGACAGCGTTTGAAGCAAATCACTGATATTTTGTCAATTGGACAAGGAGAGCTAGAGGATTTCATGCGACGGATAATGGAGGTTATCTTTTGGTACGGAGGAGGATCTGAATGAAAAGGATGAGTAGGATTACTGAAGGAAGGAATCCAAGATGGAATGGGAAACTGTTTGTTTGGATGCTTAGCAGAGAGTGTTTCTATAAAGAATTGTTTGCAACGCTCTAGTGAGAACGATGGAAGAAGGGAAGGTTTCTTTTGTAGAAAGCGTTTAACATAACCCCAGAAATTTTTAGAAATAGAAAGATCATGGTCAAGTGTTTCGCAGGAAGTGATAGTAGATGTCTTCTTAGCAAGTTTGCTACGTAAAAGACGGGAGACGTATCGTATTTCGTCTAACGAAGCATGACTATCCTTAAGTAATTTCAGGTCTTTTTTCAAGTTTTTGAGGCTATGATGTTGATACTTTTCGACGAGTCCTGTGTTTGAATTGTTCTCTTGAAACCCATATGTGTCTTTACAATAATTAAAGATGACTTTATTCATGTGGATGATGGCTTCACCAATCGAATCCTGACGGAGAGTGAAATTCGATAAAACTGAATGGAAGAACTGATTCGCAAGTTTCCACTGCTCATCTGTTTTTGGGAGACGTACACCGGGTTTTAAATCAATTATTTCCTCAGGTAACGTATCCTGACCCGTATTTGTGTCTGGCAAATTATCGGCGACCTCTTCAAACAACTCTTCTTTGTCAAAACCGGTAATGACCCTGCAATTGCGTTGATGTAATTTCAATCCTTTGATTCCTTTGCAAATCTTGCCACAACAGCATTTCACTTGACTGTTAGCGGGAGGTTCAATTCCATTGTCGATCAAAGGCATGTTAATTGCTCCGTTGGGGCCAATACCATTGTTGTCGACACGTTTCCTACAGCGCCAAGTATGGCGGCCTAACGATACAAAATCTTTGCCACAAGTTGCACAAACCACGAATAAAGACAGGAGCGTAAGCAAAGTGCAACGAAACATGATCGAAGTGAAACAAGGACGATCAGCAACGTTATGAATCTCAAAAGTATGGCATAAATACAATTTCCAGGCTTAAATTTCGAGGTTTAAACAAGAGCCGTGTGCAGTAACGTCCGCATGCCACCGCTCGACGATGATAATAATAATAATAATGGAAACATTTCATTTTCAATTCAACTTAAACTACAACTACAAATCTCACTATTACAACTGAGAATAGAAAAATAAAACTACTGAAATTAAAAAGGATGTAATTGAGTTTGTCCATGGATTATTTTTGGCAACCAAAATATTGTAGTAACAGATGCAATGCTGAAATTAGAATAATACGTTTTGTCTATACGATGGAGAGAGATTCCCACATTTTGAAGAATGAATTGCAGGAATTGCCGAAGATCCGAAGAGAGCTCATTAAAATTAACAAGAGAACCATTGAACTGCCGCTGTAAACCAGATAAAAAGGAGCATATTGCTGTTTTTCTTGTAGCATTTGATGTTAAATTGATTCAAAGCAAGCAGTTGGCTCTAAAATGTAATAGTAAATTGTTGTTAGTCTCAAGAGAAAGATCAGGGCGAAGGTTTCTCCAGTTATGATTATGGGAAAGAAAAGAGAGGTATATCAGAGTAACGTGAGATTTCATTGACAGCTTTATATGAACTATTAGAAAGTTTCATGATAGATTATGTCGCAGTGTATCGGCTTGTTCTAGATATGTTTGCCCACCAGCAACAATGCGAAAAGGGTCTTTGGATGAAAACAGAAAGAAAGTCAGAGTCTGGCCAATTCCATTTTTTCAGGTTTCACTGTGTTTCTTATGGTGATTGAAAATATTCAGGCATCTACTTGCACCTTGGTAACAAAGTTGTTAATATAATAATATTTTTTTACATTATTTTCATGTGAATACTTTAATTTACAATTATAATGACCTGTTTTTACAGGCATCATATAAATTGGTTATCTGCATTACAATATAAAAGTCATTAGTTCTGCTTAGTGATAGTTTGTTTTCGACGACAGAAAGATATATAGGTCAGGGATAGAAATGTTCATGAGTTTCATCAAGATGATTTTAGTTTGATTTGTGTCCAAATTAATCATGTAGATTCAGAGAGAGATGGTAGATGAGGTTCCAGGAATGCCAATGGCATCATAAAAGTTAACAATGTAACCGTTTATACAGGGCTCAGTTCCTGACAGATGTATATTTCCTGCTTTCAAGTAGTGTTTCAGTCATGTTGCTTTCAACCAACAGTAAGCTCTAGCATGTAAGGATTCGATCTTCAGTTACGAAGACAGATTGTGACATAGGTAGTCGCCTGTTGATTAAAGAAGTATAGAATGAGGCAGTTTCGCGTAAATCGAGCTATTTTCAGTGTTAAATGGGTTTTGAATATGTCAATATGAAGTAAGAATCATGAAT